CTCCTCAAGGGCTGCACCCAGCTCTGGGCATCCTCTCTGAGCATCACGCTCTGTGCTCCTCTCTGGTGAGCTGTTCTGGAAGCAGATCTTAGTGGAAGTCAATTAAAACCCACTTGAATGTAGAAAACAAGCCAGGAGACAAACAATGTGGGGAAATTGCCTGCACGGAGCGGGCTCTGCCACATCGCCGTGCGTGCTAAGGACTGTTTTTTCCGTGAAAAGTGGTTGCTCCTGGAAGAGGAAAGCAGCATGGCTTTCCCCCTGCCTGCGCCACCGCTGCTCCGTGGCGTTTGGGGAGCAAACACCTGCTCCATCAGGCTGCTGCGCCGTCACCCTCCCAGCTGCTTACTGGTTCCAGTTTCCTCCGGGACCTGCGTGTTTTAGGGCTCTGTGTTCGCTCCTGGTCTCCATAGTGCTGGTGATGTGGGTCCTGCCCTTCTCCTGGCTACGCTGCTCCTATCCAGGCTTGATGGGAGCCAGAGCCCAGCGTGTGCTTTTTGCCTACCTACAGTTTTTTAAAAATAATATTATTCATCAGCAGGTCTCAAAGCACTTTACAGAGGAGAGGGGTAGTGTTAGCTCTGCTTTGTTTTCTGTAGCTGGGGAAACTGAGGCGCGGAGGAAGTGTTTGCTCCCACACCTTGGTGAGGCTCCCAGGCAAGGTCCTGCCGTCGTACAGGCCACCTTGCAGGTGGTCCTCAGCAGTTTGTATGACTTTTGTTCCAAACGTTGTGCGCTCCAGCTGCTGTAGGAGATCAGCTGCTGTATTTGCTTGTACGCACCCACCTCCGGACAGGCGTCCGCAGAGCCCTGTGGCGGCACACGCGTTACCATGTTGGCGGCGCAGCCAGCGTGGTGGATCAGCGGTAGGTGCCTACCAGGCACGTCTTGCTTCCCCCAAGTTCATGAAGGCTCTTTGCTACCGTTTCCAAGTTTATTCACAAAATTATTATTCTTTCCAGCAATTCCAAGACCCCCCAGGTTGGTTTGGGTGTTGCTGGTAGCAGCCAGGCTGCCTGGTGCTCGTGAACCGCCATGCAGGAATGTGATCTGCTGGGATCAGTTCAGCTCCCACCTAGTGACCCAGGAGACAAGGTGCATGAGGGGCTGGTGGCAAAGGGATTTCTCATAATTCCTGTTCTTTCCACTTTCTTTTCTTAAGTCTCCTGGCTCGAACCCCAGGGGAGCGGCTGAAGGACATCCCTGCCTGGATGCAGTCGTTTCAGCGCGTCGGTGCTGGGGAGGCACCGTACAGCTGCTGCCTGCAGTGCTGAGTCTTGCAGAAGCAGCAGCTAAAGGGCAGGGAAAGCATCTTGGCCTGACGAGCTTCATCCGAGTCCAGATTTCACATGAGTGACCCTGGTGATATCACCTAGGTTTTATTCCCAGATTTCAAAGCACTTTATGGAAGAGGTAATTTTATTATTCCTGTTTCATATCTGGGGAAAACAAGGCACGGGAGCGTTACGTGGCTGTGATAAGTGGCAGACACAAAGCCCAGTGGTCCTGTGTTTCCATCCGGCGCATCGTCAGCTGTGACACGTTTCTCCCTCATTTCTAATCCCACTAATTTCAGTGTGATTTCAAGGTTTTTAGCAACTCCAGAGTCGCTTCTACCTGACGTACGAGAGGAGCTTATTGAATCGTACGTCTGGAGCTGCTCATCCAGAGCTGTGCTGCCCTCGGGAGCGTGCAGAGCCTGCGGTTGTGCCTGATGATGGTGGGAAGGGTGGGGGACACCCACCTTGGGTCCCCTCTCTTGTCCAGAACCCGTGGTGGCTGTCCCCAGTGCCAGAAGTGTTTGCCTGGCTTGCTCCGGAGGGTGGACAGGCATGCTCCGCACCTCCACAGCCCCCTCTTCCACATTTCTGCAACAAACAGCTCCGCGTGAGCTCTCTGCCTCCTCTTTATGTAGGGTGGCAAGCCCAAGCCACTAGCTTTGCTTCTGTACTACGATGTCCCTGTCCCATCACTGTGTCCTGGATCAGCAGCCTTGATCTCAGGGCACTGGGTCCCAAACCAGTGGTTTCTCACCAGCCAGCAGGGAGAAGATTCTCCCTAACTTGTGAAATCCAGCTGCTGGTAAGGCAGCGCCATTTAACTGCATCCCTGGTGTTCCACCAGGTTTGTAGGAAGTTTCACGAGCTACCGGCATTAGGGGTAAAGTTTCCTCCAAACTTTTATATCTCCAAACACCCCCGCAGCCAGAGATACTAGAGTGGACTTTGCTCCTTTTTGCTGTGCTGGGATGATTCAGCTGAAAGGTAAAACCAGCCCCCCCCAGCCCATAAGTCTACAAAAAAGACCGCATGGGAGATTCCTCCTCGTTGTGGTGGTTGGGTCACGCTGAGTGGGCTCCTCTGGGCAGCGGAGTGATGGGAGCTTCTAGCCGGGGCTTGGCAGTGGGGCCTTTTGCTGGTGCGACGCAAGGCGCAGATCTCCCTATTCCAGCCTCGGGCTTAAGCCCACGCCTTGGCTTTCCCAGCGGGAGCGTTCCCGGCATTGGGTTACCAGCGCCGTCCCCTCCAAGGACACCTGTTGTTGACTCACCTATTGTAAATGGGACATAATTCCTGGAAACCGTCTCTCGCAACTTTGGTGAGATTTGCAGTCTCATCTGCGGGGTTTCGTGTTACTAGAAGGGAGCAGTTTGTTTGGCAAACAAACATTTCTCCTAAGCACCTCCCGCTTTCTCTGCCTTCTTCGCCAGGTCAGGGTTGCGCTGGCTGCTCCTTTTTGGCCAAGGGATCAGTTTTAGGACGCACCAGATGCCCTGGTTTTAGAGTGCAAGCGCTGTGTCTGGAAGGTCTCCTGGTAGCTCAATCTCTGTCCTCTAGCTGCACCCCATGTTTTCGATCATATCAAACCCACATATCGACATATTTCTATGTTTTCAGTGTACTACGCTTCTCCTGGCATTATCCATCCACTGGCTGTGGCGCAGATAAGGAGAGCAGTGGATGGAGTGACAGTGGGAAAATCCTGCTGGGTTCTCGTCAGCTTTGAGGAGGAATTTTTCAGTGGAAATCTTTTGTCTGGAAAATGCCTGCCCATTGTAATGGAAACCGTTCATAGGAAGAGGTTTGTTTGGACAAATTTTCTGTTGAGTGTTTCTGGGGGAGGAAAAACAGGTTGGAAATGTTCCAAACTTTCCCACTTCAGCAATTTCAAAGTAACAGTATTTGAACCTTCCTTTAGAAATAACTGTGGGAGCTTAGAAGTTTAAATTAAGAAATAATAAATTCATTAGTAAATTGATGAACTTGCACAAAGTGTAACAAAAAAAAAAAAAAAGCGCCTGTGTGGAAAGAGGCAGGCAGTAGTTTCCAGCCAAAGCAAATCCTGTCTCTCCTGCAACGTTACTTCCACCTCCTCAGGTGCCGGGAGACCTCTGAGCTCTTCTGTCTTGTTCAAGAGCCCCTGCTTCCCTTCCCCAGCTGCCTGTGTGTCGGGGAACCAGCGGCACCGCTGACCCCATCTCTGCCCCTTTCGCTAAGCCTGCCGCTTTGCCTTGCACAGAAGCTTTCCCCCCAAGCACTACACCACCTTAGTGACTTTGCTAAAAAACTAAAAATAAAATCAAAGCCATTTCAGAACTCTCGGACCAATGCAAAGAAGCGCGACAGGCGATAACGACAGTGGGGAAGGCCGGTGGTTTTGGTTGAAGCCGGAGAGGTGCCACTGCAGCATCAGCCGATGCGCGTCGGGCGTCAGCAATGCCGTTGCCATCGTCCGTAGGCATCGGCCCCGCTGGGGTCCGGCGCTAGCTGCTAGAGGCACATCTGGCGA